TACTGCTGGTATCTAGTGGGTGGCGACCAGGAGTCCTGCTCAGCGCCCCACATGCACTGGATGGCCCCGCCCCAAAGTAGGACCCTGCCCGAGTGACCGGAGCTCTGAGGTCAAGACACCCTGCTCTGGATGAAGGCCAAATACCACCTCCCTTTTTGAAATCTCTGAGTGTTTCAGCTAGAAATAATCACTTTTTGCTTCCCTTTTATCCCATGTAGCGGTTTCTTCTAGGTGTTGGTTCTTTATGACACTCGTCAATCCCGCCGCCTCCGTCCCCGTCCCCAGTTGCCCCATCGCTGAGCAGAGTGCTCGGGGCTTCACACTGCCGTCAACCTGCTGGCCAGCAGAAGACTAACAGCAGGTGGGCCTCCTGCTCTAACAGTGGAGGCGCACTGACTGTCCACTGAGTGTTACTGACGCGCCTCGCAGATGAAATCCTCTGCCAGCAAAGCGTGATCCAGTGCCCACGCTGCTGCCCACACAGATGTGTGTGCTGAGCATCAGCATCGTGTAGTCTAGTTCACCTGTCATCTGGGAACTGGGGGAGGGCTGCCCAGAGAAACCAACCCTTTGCTGGTGGGGTGCTGTGCAGGGCTTGAGGCCCCCCCCCCAGGAGCAGATCGCCCCTTCCTCCTGCCCCTCGTGCAGAGGCATCCCACTCCCTGGTTTCCTTTTACAAAACCACCTGATGCTCAGATCCTAGATGCCTTCAGACAGGAAGTGGACTGAAAAAGCTTTTTCTTTCTTTGAAGGTCAAACCCAGTTTGGTCGTGATAAGTAGCCCCTGGTCTGTTCTCCTCACTCTTTGTGGAGCTTGGTGGCGCTGTCTTTGAGATGCCACCGGGGGCTCCTGTGGAAGCTGAAGAGTGTGGGGCATCGGTGCTGCCTTGTGTCTGTGTCGAGACAAGCTGGATGGCCTGTGGCTGGGTTGGCAGTGCTGGTACTGACGTTGGTCCTCAAGCACAACCACTGGCAGGATGTAGGTGCTCAGGGGGCCTCCCGTGGTCTTTTTCCTGATGGATCTGAATGTCCTTGCCCCAGGGGCCAGGCATTCATGTCCTTCTGCGGACTTGTCAATTTTTGGTTCCACTTTTAACCTTCCACTTGTAAAATAAGAGAAACAGGGTCCTTAAGGAGTTCAACCCAGATAGGTTGATTGCCGAGTTATCAGAAGCTGGGCATCAAGGTAGGCCTTGGATCAGAAACCACTCCCCCCCCAGTGATCAACTTGAATCTCATGCCAAAAAGGTACGTCATGAAATTGTTAGTAGAGCATAAATGCCTTTCTTTTTTGTACCTTTGTACCTCAGTATGTATCTCTCAGTCACCCTGCTGCCAGAAAATAGCCTCATGAACCGGGGGAGGGGTTCTTTCTTGGCTCCTGCGGTGAGCATGCCGAAGCCAGGCCAGGGTCAGCGGTTGGCCGGTTTCTGTTGCCCCCACAGACGTGGCTCTGCTAAGATACTGTAAATGTGATTACTAGCTGGCAAGTTCTGTTATTTGGAAAGTTAGCTTGTGCAGCAGATGGCTCTGGTGACTACGAGAGGTTTCCTTTAAATAAGGCTTGTTTAATAACACTTGCAAAATAATTCTCATGGAAGATGTTTAATTTATTGGCAGCTAGAAATGGCCCAGGACAGGAAAGTCATGGGAGGATGGCCAAAGGATCTCATAAACTTGGAACTCAGAGAGCAAAGCCAGCTGCAGAGGGTGATGAATGGGGGCAAGCTAGGGCCATTCCCCTTCCCTGGACCCCCTCTGCAGCCCTTCCCTGTCAGGCACTGGAGTCCCTGCTGAGCTGAGGCTTTGCCTGCTTGCCTGCCTGCCTGCCTGCTGTTTGGTTTTGATGTAGCAGTGAGATCAACTACAGCCTCTTTTTTTTTTTAAGGCAAAAGGGTGATATATTTCTAAGATATAGAAAAATTCAAGAAATGATGGTCTAGAGGAGTCAGTTTAAAAAGCAACGGGAAAATAAAGCAAAATGCTACCAGAAACACATATCGTATAATTTTATTTTTAGAAGGCAGATCTGGTTGTGTACAGGATTTGGATTTTGGAGTGGCAGGTTCTGTCTGAGCCTCTGATTCTGAGCATTGGAAGAGTCCATATATCCAGGGCAGTGGGGAGAGGCAAGGATCCCAGGTCTTTCCACCTAAACAGTCCGGCCCAAAATGGAATGGTTGTGATCGCTGTGGAAATTAAATGCTTCCACTGGAGGCAGAAAGTGCTGAAAGATGGTGAACATTCGGCTGTGGGTGAAAGGTTTCTCATGCAGTGTCTTCTAAGATTCAGTGTCATCTAAGGTGGATCAAATGGAATCTTCTACTCCGCAGCCTGCATCCTTGTACTGCAAAGTGCAAAACCTGGGCTGGATTTCAGGCAACCGTGTAACAGTTGGAAGACACTAACAGCTGCTCTGTATTTGAGCTCTAAAAGAATACTGTTTTGTTACCTCGGGCTTTGAATGCCTCAGGTAACAAGAAAGATCTACATCTTAAATGGGACAACTAATTTCAAATTAAAATTCATCTTAATAGTGAGAAAGGACCCCCAGGCTAAGTTTGGAGCCCTTGGTCCTGGTCCCACCGTGGCGTCGCAGTAGTTCGCCACTCCTCATTGCTAAGCTTCAGTTTCTCTGCTTATGAGCCTCTTTGACCTTTAAGTCTTTACAACTGCTGTCAAATTGTAGACTTTAGCCAAACCTTAACGGTGCGCATCTCTTAGAATGCTGGGTGCAGCTTTGTAACTCCCTCATCCTTTAACTCCCTGCATTTTTCACGTAGCCTTGAAAACTGTATTTTTTCACCCGTTTGTGAGTTCTTCGAGGAAGAGACCCTGCCGCAGCCTTCTGTGTGTGTAGTGTTGCAGTAGGTGTGTTTAATGTATTTGATGAATAAGTGAACAGGTAGATGAATAAATGAGAACAAGCTGAGATACTGACATCATTTATGTTTGATTAGCGTCAGGTTCAATAATAGCCATGTATTTCTCTCCTTGTTGTCAACAAAGCAAATGCTGTTGCTTATTAAGACAAAAGAAATGACAGTGGGCACAGGCAGTGTGACTCTGAGACCCTAGGTTTGCTCTTCAGCCATGAGCTGTGTAGCCTTGGGGAAAGGGCCCAGCTCCTCTGAGCCTCCACATCCCCCGAACCTAATGTGCTCCAGAAACCACATTCTGATGGATGGATTACTGTCTGGCTTCCACTCGAGAAGCTGGTGGTTCTCCAGGTCTTAATCAAAGTGAGCTTTTTATTGAAATTCAGAAGGTAAGACTCATCGGTCCTGGGGTCCCCTCACCTTTGCAGTGAAGACATGTTAGAGTTACCTTTCTTTAACCCTGGAGTGCCAGGAGCAGGTAGACAGCTTATTGTGACCCTATGATGGTAGCAGTCATGTTATCCGGTAGAGCCACTGAGGATGGTCAGTTTTAAGGTATTTTTTTATAGACTTTATTTTTCAGAGCAATTTTAAGTTCACAGCAATATTGAGCAGAAGGTACAGAGAATTCCCATCTACCCCTTGCCCCCCACACATGCACAGACTCCCTCACTGTCAGCATCCAGGGGGGTGGATATTTGTTGTACTTGATGAATTGTTACATGGACACGTCATTACCAACCATAGGGCATACATTCTGTGTTGGACAAATGTGTAATGACACGTATTCACCAATAGTATCACTAGAGTATTTTCCCTGCCCTAAAAATTCTCTGCTCTAAGTATCTTTTAAAAAATAAATGAAATCAACTAGCAGTCTTTCTGTTTTACCTCATTAAATACAAATATTTAATTTCTGGCAAAATCTAGATTTCCTAGGCTATACCCTCCTTCATAAGAGACCCTGTGATTCATCCCTATATCCCTTTCATTGCCATGAACACAATATACACCCCATAATTATTTGTTCAAAGAAGAAAGAAGGGGAAACTGGTCTTTGCAAATATAATGCCTTGTCACGGGCACCTACCCTAGGAACAGCCTCTCATGAATTGTGGGCCTCTCTAGGCCTGGACAAGCCTGTGTAAGCATCCAATTACATTGACATTTTCCTTCTGAAACTCTTAAGGAAACCAAAACATCTGTGTTCAAGATACCATGAAGAACTAATGTGTTGATCAACTACATACGAATATTGTGTTGTATCAGATAATGAGAACCAGCATCTATCTGTAGAGCCAAGAGTCATAGCAAACGGGAAGTTTGATGGAAGAGAAACTCAGCATCCAATATTAACAGTCAATATTCGGTGCTCACATGGGATACCCGGCACACGGTGTTGGGGCTGATGCAACCCTCACAAGGATGCTCACTCAGGGTTTGGGTACTGTTTTCTTTGACCGCAGTTTACAGGTGTAAAAACTGACAAGGAAGGAAGTGGACAAGCTTGGTGTAAAGAGGCAAATCTTTCCTCCTGCCTCCAACTGCCTTTTTCCTGTTATCCCCGGCAGCCCACACTGATCCTTTGTCAGGAGCCTTTCCCCACACACTGGGAACATACTCCTGAGATACCTTGTTTTGTATAAGAAGTTATTTGAGTCTGATCGTTTCCAGAGCTCGGTTAGGAGATGCTTCACATAAACCCGCAGCTGGTGAGGCATGTGCCGTGTTTTGTTGCTTTCGCAAGCCGAGCCCGGGAGTGCTGGTGTGGGCTTGGGGTTCGACTGCACGCCTGGCCGGCCCCGGAGGCTCCGGTCCGCACTGCACGATCCACCCCGGCACTTGGGCCAGCCGCCGGGCCGCGCTCCCGCAGCCGCGCTCCCGGGATCGGCCGCCGGGCTGGGCGCGCGGCCCGCGGTCGCTGCACGTCGGCCCCCGCCCCGCCCCGGCGCGCATTTCCATTTTAAACCGCCGCCCGCCCGCCCCTCGGCCGCGGCCGGCGCAGCTGCCCGCACGGCCCGGCCCCGGAGTGGCGAGACTGCGGAGCCGCCGAGCTGTGCAAAAAAGGCCCGAAGATGCGAGCGGGCCCTGCGCCATAGACAATGAAGCCGCGGGCTTCGCCGCCCGCCGCGGGCCCTGCGCGCCGCGGTCGCACCTGCCGGCGAGACCGTCCGCGCGCTTGAGCGCCCGCCCGCCCCCTCGGCCCATGGCCCAGCAGCCCGGGCCCAGACCCCCGCACTCGGGCCGCGCGGCGCACGGGCTGGCGGGCGCCAGGGGCGCCGTCCCCGCGGCGTGAGCGCGGCCCACGCGGCGGGCGTGGGCCCCCCCCACCCCCGGGCGCGCCCGCTCTCCCCGCCTCGCCCGGCGACCGCCTTGACCGCGCGTTCCGGCCCGCGGCGCGCTGGATGCGGCGGGGCTCTGGCGGGCGGCGCGGCAGCCGCGGCCCCGGGCGACATGTACCTGCTGGACGGCAGCGGCGAGCCTGCGCCTCCGCCCGCGGACGTCATGCCTCGCGGGACGCCCCCCAGGAAGACCGTCTACCGCATCTCCGTGACCATGGTCAAGAAGGAGCGGCTGGCCGCGCCGGGCCCCGGCGGCCCCAACCCGCGCCCGGCTCGGAGGCCCCGGGCCGCGCGCTCTCCGGACGCGCCCGGGAGGCTCGTGGAGGAGGCCGAGGAGGCGGCGGGCGCCGAGGACCCCGCGGGCCGCCCCCCGAGCGCCGGGGTCTTCCGCACCTTCCGCACCCGCAGCACCGGGCAGCTGGAGCTCGGGCGGCTCCGGCCGTGCGCACGCGGCCCGGAGCGCGCGGCCCTGGCGGGCAGCCCCCCGGCCGCGGAGGAGGAGCCCGGCTCGCCCGCGCCGGGCAGCCCGGACTTGGACGAGACCCGGGGCGCGCCCCTGCGGCGGAGCCTCAGCTTCAGGCACTGGAGCGGGCCCGAGGCGCCGCGGGGCCGCGGGAGGCGCCACAGCAGCTCCGGGAGTCTGGCCTGGGCGCCGGGTGGCGAGGCCGAGGCCGGCCCGGGGGCCGCCCCGGAGCCCGCGGCCGTCGCCCAGCCTGCCTCGGAGAAGCGCAACACCCTGGACGTGGGCGAGGTGCTCAGCAAAAACGACACGCTGTCGGACCTGGAGCGCTGGGAGCGTAGCAAGAGCAAGAACCGCACGCTGGACAACAGCGACCTGCAGCGGCTGGAGCGCGCGCGGGCCGCGGCCGCCGGCCCCGGCTCGGCCTCGGAGCACCGGCTGCTGCGCTTCTTCAGCGGCATCTTCGCGCGCAGGGACGGCACGCCCGGCGGCGGCCCCTCTCCTCGGAGCGGCGCCTCGCGGGCGCGCGGCTATTTCAGCAGCCTGCGGCGGGCCCCGGCCGACGCGCACTCGTCCAGCGGCGAGAGCATCGACGGGTCCCCGCGCAGAGGTGGGCGGCGGGGAAGGCGGTGGGGGGACCGGCTCGGCTTAGCAGAGCGAGCTGGGGCTCGGGAGCAGCTACGGGACCTGTCCTCCCAGGTCACCAGCCGGCAAGCGGCCCCCCCGGATTTGAGCTCGGGTACTGAGGCTTTTAACCCAGTAAAACTGGGGCGGTCTGGAAGTTCTTGGCTGCCCCGGCCCCCAGCTGTGTGGTGGCGCCTTTCAGGGTCGCCGCCGCAGCCACCGTGCGCCTGTCTGGGGCGATCACCTTGCCGGGTGGTGCCCTTTCCCCGCAGGTGCCCGCGCAGGTGATTCTCTGTAAGCAGGCCCGCGAGTTCGTTGCTGCGCGGCGTGCTTGAGGGCTGTGGCACCTGTGGGCTGCCTCGGAGCTGGGGCTTGGCCCTTCGCCCCTGCACAGGTGGTGCTGGCTGGCCAGGAGAAGCACGTTCGTCTGGGCTAATTTCTTCTCCACCCCGACGCCTAGTCTCCCTGTAGGCTTGAGCGCTGTGATGTTGCAGGGCTGATTCGGCTGCACTCACCTTTGGGGCTTCTGGTAAGGATAGTTCACCCAGTGGGCAAGGATACCGGCCTCTCCCTCCACAGCCTCCCTGCCAACTGGTACCTTACAAGGACAGCAAGTCTGGGACTGGGTTCTGTTTCCTAGTAATGCGTTTTAGCATATAGGCAGGAAAATCAGCTCCAGAACCAGTTCTGAAATTTCCTTTCACTGTTCCCTTAAGCCCCCCACTTAGGGACCTTGCAGGGAAGGTTCGGGAAGCAGATGGGATACTTTCTTGCAGAAATCAGGTGTCCTTCTGTATTGTTTGGAGGTTAGAATCCTCCCCAAACAGACTCTGATCTTTCTTTTGTGGGGTCATCACCCTAAAGGGAAGAGTCTGGGGATGGGTGGTGGACCTTGAATGTTACGCCCTACTCGTGGTGGAGTTGGGAGTGCGCCTGAAGATACTGTTCCTTGAATTTCACCAAGAACCATCAGTAATATCCCTGGTGCTGATTACCCAAGCTCTGCTGCTGATGGAGATAAAGGTAGCTGAGGCTCTCACCGCAGTGTGGGCTTTTAACTATTTTTTGATGCTTACTCACCACCCCTGAAGAGAGGATTCCTCCCAAGTGGACCGTCACAGGGTAATTGACTGCTGAGGGTACAATATTAAGACCAGCCAGTGCAAAGATACCACTGACCTTGCTGAAATATTTTTAAGGTAAACTTAAATGATGTCATGTTCTAATATGCTTCTAATGATCCTCAGACTGTGGTAGAGAGTATTTGAAACCAAGCAGTTGAATTTGCATTACCATTAAAATCTGAGTATTTTATTAGGATAGAGTATAAATTTGTTAAACGGCTCACATTAGTTAACTTGCTATACACATCTTGTGTTTTAACCTGTGTTGGAATAATCACTTTGGAAGGCACTGTGTTTTACTCCACTCTTATCCCATCCCTCCTGCTTGCTACTCTTAATAATTTGTATTATTTTTTAATGTTTTAAAACTGTTGATATGAAGTTGCTATTGCCGTCATTTGTGTTCAGTGGAAGTTCTCCCTGTAATAGCAGGCTTCTGTCTTTGTTCTCTTGGGCTTGTAGAAAATAATAATTAGCTGCTTGGGTTCCAGACAAGTATCCATCAGAGACGAGGGTGGGGGAGGAATGCACACATGATTTTGAACCATGTTTCATTGTGGGACCTACTGATGCTGGTTAAAAGCGGCTGGTGTGTGGCTATTTCCTCTCTGGTCAGATGGATTGATAGTAGATTTAAAATAGTAAAGGCGTGAAGTGTGTTGAAATTTTTTCTCTCTAGGGCCATATAAAAGTAGTTAATGATTATAACAATGCTTGGTTTGGTTTTCCCTTGTGGCCAGCCCTTCTCTGTGGGTGGAATTACTTCGGTTTGAGACCACACTAGGGTTGTGGATTGTGTAGAAAAACAGAATGTTAATGAACTAGGTTACAGCACACACAGTCAGAAGTTTGGTACAGTACCTCATTCTGAAGTTCCAGGTAATCACAAAAAAAATAAACCTACCTCTCTCACCTTCCTCTGACTAAACTGCCTGAAAGGTCAGTGTTCTCAAGATTTTCTTAAAGCTAGTATCTATCACAAGTGAAAGGTGCAGCCTCTACAGCTTTCAGGTCTTTTCGTTTTATTATATTTTTCTGTTTTTTATATATTTGCCTCCTCTGACATAGGTTATTTAGAACTTATGTGCTATTTAAATGAAGTTTTGAATTTACAGTAAATTTTTCTACAGTAACATTCAGATGCTGTGGAACCAGGATCAGCTTCCCTGTAAATGTCCAGAGGGAAAAGTTCCATGAAGTCTTGCCCCAATCCATGGGGCTAGGTGCATTTGCAGGACTTAAAAAATTTGGATTTTAGGAAGGTAAAGTGATGCATGTTACAGAACACTGCCTGTGTGGTTTAGACAGGACCTTGTAATTAGACAATAATGTGCAACAAAGCCTGAGATACTTAAACTCAGTATGATAAATATGTTTGCCATCAGGAGTCTGTTAAACGTTTGTGAATAAAGCTTCCTTTTCAGGCCTTCCTGGGATTTCAGAATTGCTGATGAGCCACTGGGGACCTCTGGTGTGATGTACGTCAGAAGGAGCCTCACTAGCTTTCTTTAAATCTTGGCCACAGTGTATTAAAATGAGAAGTTGAGGTATAACAGAAATTAGAGGAAGCTTGTCTTTGGGGCAGGTTTTCCTTTAGTTAGACTTTCAGCTATTAAATTTTTAAATAGACAATAGAAAACTCACTTTAAAAAACTATTAGGTTAAATGATTTTCTTGGCTTAAGAAGTTTATGCTTGGTCTTAGACAAGGACCCTATGCCAATAATAGGGCAGAAAGATGGTTAGTATTCTGTTTTAAAATACCAAGTCTCCCATATCGGGTATCTGTGGTTTTCCTGTATCCATATGGCATTAGGAGCACCTGCCTTTGCAGGATGATTTTGGTCTGTTCAGGCCTTTTCTCCCTCTGGTGTGCAACAGCCCCCTCCAGAGACCCATGGCAGCTCGCACTCCAAGATTCAAAACTGTCAGGAATATTGGAACATTTCAGAGAGGCCCCATGTCAGATCAAGGGCAGTTTCCCATTACCTGATACACATATATTAGGGTAGAGTCTGTTGCCATAAGTATAATTTAATACAAAGAAAGATCAAATAATAAATGATTGATTACACCAGGGTGTCACTTTCTGTTGCACACTCCCTGCGTCCCAGCCAGCTTGCTAATAGTCCTAGGAAGCAGCCGCAGGCAGTGCTTGCGCAGGGCCGCACATGTCAGGGTAATCTGTTGCGTCCGGGAGGATTGATTACAGCAATAAAGTGATTCATTGATAGTCGTGACTGAGGTTAGCTTTTTAAATTAGTAATTTACAGCTGATTTTTGACAGCACATTTTATGAGTGGCTTTGTTCTTTAATTTCTTATCCCCTTGATTTCTATCAATTTGCATAGTGTGATAGGCTGTCTTAACAGTTTAAAAAAAGCCTTTCAATGGAGAGAAGCAGCAATATGTGATGAAAATTTAACTGAAATAACTTGGTATGTGTTTATTTTTTAACTAGATTTGTCCCGAAAAGGACATAGATGGTTTTAAACAAGCAGTGTAACTCAGCCTCCCATTTGAAACATTGTGAACTGATTGCACACTCGGTGTTTTGGAATTCCCTTGCTTTTTATAAAACTCCAGGCAGGAATTAAGAAAAAACACATGGTTTGTTGTAAGGTTGAATTGCTTTCCTGGAGACAGAGCAGCCCACTTGGGATATAGGCAGAGCCTTGGGCTGCATTTCTTTTTGTCATCCCAGAGCCCATGTTTCAGCCCTGTCACCTGTTAGCATCTTTCTTTATGTCAGGCTGGGCTTGGAATATCTTGCCACCAATGGAATGTTCCAAAGTGTGTCTGCCAAAGAGGTCCTTCAGTGTTAACATAGACCTATTGTAACCATCTGGTTGGTTGTACAGTTACTGCAGAACTTTTGTTTGGCAGGGCTTATCTTTAGTTGTCTGATTTTTCTGTTGTGTTAACAGTGAGTTTCCATGGTATATTCTGCAGGAGCAGGGAGCTAGAGCTAACCACCCCACAGTTCCCGTGGTCTGAGGCCAGTAGCCTGTTGGCAGATGGAAGTTGCAGTGAATCACAAGCGCATGGGGTACTTAGGAGAAAGTGTGACTGTGTTTGCCTGTGTAGCATCCCTCTGAGATCCCACTGCATGATAATAACCTGGTTGCATGTCTGCCAGTTCTAAGGGTCCCTTCTGGATGCAAAGCCTGTATCATTCCTCTCTGTACTGTGGGGTTAAGAGCACCATGCTTGGCATTTAGACTTTTATGAAGTGTTTGTGGGAGGGGTTAATGAGAGGATGTAGGGACTAACGGGAGCACATGTCCTTGAGAGGGGAAGGAGCTGAGGAAGGCCTCAGAGGGCTAAAATGATTGGAGTCTTCTTGTAGGATCTGTGGTTTTCTAGCTGGAAAACGGGAAGTACTTCTCTACCAGCAAGTTGACCCAGTGCTCTGGGCGACACGGTGGCATGGCCACAGGGCTGCATGGCTACAGGAGAGCAGAGGCTGGAGTGCTGGCAGTGCTGAGGACAGATACTGAGACGGCTGCGGGGGCGGAGAGGCTCAGAGGCAGAGACCAGCTTGCTGCCTGTAGCCTCCTTCTGAGTGGACAGGATTCTAGTGATGGACCTGCCACCGTGGGAATAAAGTTGGGTTTAAACCCTCTCACCCCAAGAATGTTCCATTATTATTCCATGGTCTCATTGAGTCCATAGTGAACTTGTCCGGGACCGAAGCCCACTGGCAAGACAGTAAGACAGTTCCCAGATCTATATGGCTGATACCAACATAAAGCACTAAAGGGGTGTTATGGTTTCTGCAGTGAGCTTTTTTATTTTTATTTTTATTTTTATTTTTTGGCACAAGGTTTTTGTTTTTGACAAGAAATCTTTAGGTAGCTGCT